TTGGACAAGGGAAATTCTTGTAACTAAAGGCAAGGAATAATACATTATATTTTTATTTTCTTTTTGCAGATAACTTTTATGTATGTATACTATTTATACTGTGGAATCTCATAATTTGATGACATTAGATTTTTTATTGCTAAATGAAGTAGAATGTTAGTTTAAGAGAAGCTAATATTATGAATAATGATATTTTACAGAATCTGATAATTAAACATATAAACAAGTAGGATGTAACATCAGATTCTAAACAATAATTTATGTTAGTGCTACTAATATAAACAGATCATTTTAAAATCTCAACCTTGGTTACTCTTCCTGTATATATATTTAACCAGTTAATCAGTAAAACTGCTCTATGAATTTATATGTCATTGCGCCTTTGTTTTACCAATTACAGTATTCACATATTCAAGCTAATGAAAACCGGTAAAAACACAGCTGGTTGATCTCTGAAGGTTGTTACTAGTTATAAAATAGAATGACTAAACTTTATGAAGTCGTATTATAATTCATATATGCATAATATTCAGTTTGTTTCTTTCATTAATTCATTACATTATTCAGGAGTTCTACACTTCACTAGAGTAAAACTCGGGAAAAAGTTATTATATTGAGGTAACAGTGTGAAAAGAATGCTGATGCAATCTGGAGTCCCATTATGTGTTTTGCATTTATTATTTGTCTAGACTATATATATTCCAGTAACAATGAGTTTGGCATTACCCTACATTGTACTGGGTCTTCAGTGCATGCAGCATAAATCTACCTTCTATTTTGCCTTTACAGTAATGTGACTTCTCTGTTGAAATACATGTAAAATAGCCAAAGAAGTGAACTTTTGTTAAAGTATTGCATTGTATATGCAGTAATGGCACTTCATTTGTGAAGGTGCTTATTGATAAGATAACACCTTTCTTTTACCATTATCAAGAGCCTAAAAAATCAAATGTATCATATTCTATATATAATAACAAAATATACTAAAACAATCTGGCCCTGTCATGCAGTTTATAAGAAATAGATTCACATATACATTTTTTTTACAGAGTAAATGTGAAAAAGGAAACCTAACACATTAATCCTAAATGCTGATTTCTTATTATAAATAAGGTTATTATATTATAGATTAATAACCACTTCTGTATTTTGTCTTCTAATTCTTGGACCACCACTTACATTACATTTGTTTACTTCATTTTTTAGCACATGAGTGATAATCAGTTGACATATTTGATCATATTTGCAAAGCATCTACTAAGAAAGTCTCTAGATGTTGGAATGATACAAGAGATATTCTGACAAAGAGTATTGTTATTTTGTTACTTGTTATTTTTATTTTTCATTTTTCTTTGGATGGAAGAGATGTTTAATTCCAACATTTTAGTTTTCTTCTGATTATCAACCTGTGTAGGAGTACTTGTACATTATTATGAATTGAAGTTTGTTTGTTTGTTTGTTTTTTTACTTCATAACACTGTGTATTATGTTTGTAGTTATTACTGAATATATTTTATGTAGATAAGTGGTAACTGCTTTATCACTTTTACTGGGTTGTTAATGTTTCCATCAGTTCCATGTCTCATCTTAGAGATATATTTTTTATAAATACTACCACTAAATCATTGTGAATATTATCACTTATTATTCCTATCTTATTTATTGCTGGTAACTGTAAGCATAATTCACTTAGTTATTTTTAGTATTGTAAGGAATATTTATTTTTCAGAATTTGGCATAGCTATTTTCGAATGATATAGTGTGAATGTAATCAATGCTGTAAATTACTTTTGCCTTAAAAAAAATATTTAGGGTTGGCTTCTATAAATCTCTTGATCCACTAGCCTGTAAATTTTTCAGTTTGAAATTTTGTAATATTTCTTCTCACAATAAACATTTGATAGGTAAATAACCACCCCTTGAGAAAAAAAAAAAAAAACGTCTCACTTTTTGCAGGGAATAAATATTCTTTTTTGTCTCTCCATTAATAACATGTACCAGCAGCTTACAAGATATTTACTTTAAAATATATCTTGAGAGTAATGAAATTTAACAATAGATAGTAATAGATAGTTATTAGTTAGCTGCAAGTTAGCAGTAAGTTATACACACTATATAAATCTGAGAGTCTTCTTTGTGGGCCAGCCAGCAGTCCAAAGATCATATATAGTCATAAAGCTTTCTGTCATCCAGATCTTTCATTGGGTAGATTTATGATGGAGTAATCTACCAATGCTCTGTTGTAACTATACTTAGTTGGGAAAAATGTAAATGACCCTTTCCAATTAAAGCTTTCTTCATTATTCCTCATACTTTCTTGACAGTGATGATATGGATAATCTAGCAATAAAATACTTAGCTTCCATAATCTACTGTAGCTGAAGTGAATACATTATTCTATTATTTACTTGGTGTGCCAAAGCATTTCATAGTACCTAATCTTTTACATTACTTTTGCACATTTGCACAGACTTGAGAGCATGAAGTGTCAAGAGCAACTGTAATGCAAGATCATTTTTCAACTATAGTCTGTTTTGTGGTCTCTGACACCGACCAAGAAAGAAAAAGGTTTTGGGATGACAAACCTTGAAAGAATTGTTGGATTCATATTTGGTATCCATATTATAAGTTTAGGGAAAAGGTTAATTTTGGCAGCAGTATACCATTTCTTTGGAGAGTTATGACCATTTCAACAGACTATAGTACTGATAATTAAGTAGGAAATATTTTAGTAACCATTTTGAAAAACAGTTCTGGCAAGTATCCTTTACTGATTTTTATTTGACAGATCTTAGCATAATTTCCTCCTTTTATTTTCTTATAAATGTTTTTTTATGTGAGCAGAAAGTAATGTCTAATATAGTTACTTTATTTTTGTGTAATGTAATGATAATTGTTAAAATTGAAAATCATTAAAAAAGGTATGCGTCAAGTGTATATTCCCCTGTAATAAACACACTGTAGCAAAAATACTTCCCGCTCCCATATTATAATAATTGTAAAATCTTTATTATATTTTTGCAATGGTTGTTTATTGATTTATGCATTATCATATCAGTCTTAAAAGTAATACAGAAGTTTCGACATTTTCATGATTTATTTGAAGAACATGATATACTTTTATTTAACCACGTGTTGCCAGGATGACAAGAATATCTACTGTGTCTTTCTGTTTATTGGTTGTCGTTACACATTTATAATTCTACAAGTGTTTAATCACCGAGTCCTACCTAGCTGACCTGTTTACCTTTTCCTTGGTTTTTGGTAATTTCCTTTTTATCATAAAACAACAACAATAATAAGAAAATTGATATTTGATTTCACACACACATACACACACACACACACACACACACACACACACACACACACACACACACACACACACACACACACACACACACACACACACACACACACACACACACACACACACACACACAGAGGCAGAGAAATGGGGAAAGCAGTTGAGAATACACAGGCTTGCTAATAGCCTCCTTGGTGGTGGATCACTTGTGGAAACATCTATGCGCAAAATTCACAAAACAAAGCGACAGTAGACAGTGTGATTCCCGGACACCATTAAGTTAAATGTAATATTGTCTAGTCTTTGAGCTTTGATTCAAATGATAAATTAAATTTCTTAGTTTATTAAGTCTGTTCATTTCCCAAAGAGAAAGAATCTTCCCTCTTTCAAATGATTTCTGTTTCTGCACATAAATGTAATGCCATGTGACTTACTTTATTAGACATCATATACTTACAAAATAAGCTATCACTGTGATGTAAATAAGTTTCATCGTCTTCATGTGTAGAAAGTGTAAACAGTGGGTTAATGTATTATTTGTGCATTGTACATAGAATGCAAACTGAATAAATATATATTGTATACAGATACCCCTTTTACTATCCTTTGGGCATGTGTGTAAATGATTTCGTAAAAAGTCCTCTCAAAGTATAGTGAACCAAAATATACACACCTGTGTGTATGTTGGTGTTTGTTTACATGTGAGAGAGAGGAAGAAGAAGAAGTGAGAGATAGAGTGCGTAACACTAGTTACTATATTATGTAAATTAAGTTTTTCAAAGGTTATCAATATAAGGTAAACAATGATCAGTAATGGGAAAATTATTATTTATTCATTTCTTTATAAATTCACAGCATACAGAAAGTCTACATTTATTGCATGGAGTCCATTATTGAAAATACTTGCGACACCCAGATTATATATATTTTGGCATGCTTTTGCAATATCAACACCATTCTATTAACATGTACAGCTCTTACAATATTCTTAAAAACAAGAATTATGCAAAGAAGATATAATACAAATAATTAAAAGAAAGAGATTATAAATGAGCTGCTCCTGCACAATTCTGTGACAACTAATTTTTCTTAATCAATTTCTGTAAACCTATTGAAAATACGCATTATTTTTCTAATATTTGAAACTTAAACTGTAGGACTTCTTTTGATTTAGTGTCAATATATATAACATATATGGATAAGCAACCACCATTGCCTTCAAATGACCCTGTCAGTTGGATGACGAAATCTGAAATACATAATTTTTTAAAAGTAAAAGTCCATGAATATAATCAAAGCTGGATTTTTTTGCTCATTCATAAGAACCATGGTTTTCTATACATCAAGAAAAATAAATAAGTTAATTAAGTAAATTATTATTACCAAAAAATTGTAGCAATAATAATAATACCAATAATAATAATATTAATAACAATAATTACAATAACAATAATAATAATTACAATAAATAAAAATATATAATATAATAATAATAATAATCATGATGACAAAACCAATGCCCGTGACAATGACAATAATAATAATAAATAATAATAATAATAATATAATATAATAATAATAATAATAATAATAATAATAATAATAATAATAATAATAATAATAATAATATAACAATAATAATAATAATAATAATAATAATAATAATAATATTATTATTATTATTATTATTATTATTATTATTATTATTATTATAATAACTGATGAAAACCTTAACAATGTTGTTAGGAAAAATTGATGAGAATAAAAATAAAACTTAAAAAACATTAATTCAAGGATCAAGTGAGATCAGGTAGGCCTAGCAATTGACTCGATGATGACATGTAATTGCGAAGCCATCTATCTACAAGCAAAATTATCAAAACAAGACCACAGTGGACAGTGGAAGGATCTAGCATTAATTGGTTAAGATAACAAAACAAACAAACAAATCATGATAAAATATACAAAAAATAATCTTCAATGCTTTACACATGTATGAAAGATCAGAAATTATAGCCTTAAAGCTTAGGTCATTTATAAATAGATGCTACTGAATTCTGCCAAACTTGTGCAATCCAAGGCCAAAGATTATTCAAAATTATTGAATACAAAATATAATCTTATCAATTATGCTATATCTTAAGTTATAACACTGTGATGTCATCTGCAAACACTGCTGGTGGACAAATAGTAATTTACCCTTATTTCTTAGTTTACAACATATCGTTTTCGTTTCATATACTCCTTCATTTTTTTTGTTTTTTGCCATCCAGCTTACTTCCCTTGTGTGGACATTCGGTAGTGTGTTTACAAACCTTATACCTTATACACAGTAATATGAATCAGTTGTGCATACACACACTGACAGCCTTTAGAGTAGGAAGCATGTCTTTTCGTAAATAATAAAATGAATCAGTTGTGCACGTACACATGCACGACCACACACACAAACACACACACACACACTCTGACAGCCTTTAGAGTAGGAAGCATGTCTTTTCATAAATAATAATATGAATCAGTTGCACATCTACACCCACACTGATAGCCTTTAGAGTATGATGTCTTTTTATAAATATTAACAAGGACTTTTCATAAATAATAATATAGGTTGTTCCCGAATAAAGTAAAAGACACCAAGCAGACCTGTTAGATGGTTTACTCACCTAAGTGGAAGCCTATGAGTATATAGAGTACCAAAAGCCCATATCATTTTTCATTAAATCTACCATGATGAATCTTATAAAATAATGAATGAAAAAGCAATGAAGCAATGTTGGAAGACTATGCATCATTCAAGGGCATAAACAAAGATCTTGGTATCTACATACCAAACCCTTACTTAAAAAATGAGATGTACAAATTACATATGCATTAGAAAAATACATGCAACATTCTCTCTCTCACTCTCACTCTCACTCTCTCTCTCTCTCTCTCTCTATCACACACACTCACACACACACACACACACACACACACACACACACACACACACACAAAACACACACACCACAACACACACACACACCAGAGAGAGAGAGAGAGAGAGAGAGAGAGAGAGAGAGAGAGAGAGAGAGAGAGAGAGAGAGAGAGAGAGAGAGAGATTGAGAGAGAGAGAGAGTGCAAGTAATTGTTTGGAATGCTTGAAAAATGACAAGAGAATCTTAAAAAAAAAATCCCCACTATGGTTTGTTACTGTTTTCCCTAAACCAAATAGTTTAGTACCCTCTTGTTACACAGTTAGCCCACTCAACCTTGAGACCACCACTGTGTTCTATACTAAATAAATGCTTGTGCTTGGAACATACATTGTACTTATCTACCAGCTAAACATCCAAAAATATCTAAAAGAAACATTAAAAAATGTAAAAAAAAAAATGGTTCGTTACATCACATATATAAAAGACATCTATGAAGGAAAAGGACCCACTTCCAAAAGAAGCATAAAATTGTTAAAACTAGATAACTATACCCCACAAGATTAAACATCTATGAAAGAAAAGGGGCCACTTTCATGAAACAGGTTTCAATCTTTATGCATAGATATTCAAAGATTTTGTTGGAAAACGCAAATAACAGTGAGGAATGCAGAAGACTAAAGACTTTTGCAATATATATATCATACAGGAATGCATGAGACAGCTACTGTAATGGTTCCTGTATTGCACTACTAAACACTTATCTTTAAAAATAGGAAGAATAGAGAAGCAGCTTCCTTAGTTGACTTCTGTCAAATTTAAAAACTAATTAAGATCATAATAAATACACAGCACCATTCAGATTAATTATGTTAATGTTTAAAAACTACTGTGAGAGGACAATTCCACAGTCTATCACAGTAACACGTGAAATATCAGGCAACTCAACCACTGACCTCAGGACATCAAGTCCACTCACCACCTGACCAAACACACCATTGTAACATCCAGCATTTGCTCTGGTCAAAATGCCAAATCGACCACCAATACTGTCATCACTCCAGCTAAAAACAGCCCCTGAAGAGGCAGGGCGACTATATATGCCTCCCCAAGGAAGTCCCTGGATAATGGCCTCCCCACCTTCGCCATCATAATCTCCCCCTGAGATACGTTCTCCAGGCTCACCCTTGCGATACACTTCTATCAGCTGTGTGTAAGCATAACTTGGACCATTCTTTCCTGTACACAGTAGGCTAAATTGCAGTGCTCGTTGATTTGGACTTAGCTGGATATGGATTCGTTGAGGAGGTGACCCATGCCAAGCCAGATCCAGGAATGCAGTAGGCGATGAGGTGTTTAACTGCTCTTCTATGTCAGCATACTGTAATTATAGTTTTTGATTAGGGAAAATAAATCAATGTCACACTTAACTTGACTTAACTTGTCAAGTAACAAGAAAATCATTAATGCTTTAATATTATCTAAACATATGAGATGAACAAAATTATCCAGTTTATAAATCTTTATGGGGCTTTATCATTTGTAATTAAAAACCAGGAAAAATGGATTCTAGTTCTAATATTACAGCAGTTATATATGTTGACCTTTCCAAGACAAGTTAGATGTGGCTACATAACATACACAAATGAACATATCTTGAGAACAAGGCAACAACAGGTAAGCACATGTAACTGTCATGAAGAATATATAGCTTTTTTAATTATTTGTTTTCTTCAAAATTTGCATCCATGGTCAATAGTCATTAGCACCATCTAATTTCATTACTTATATTTTCTGGTTCTGTCATTTACATAAACTAGTCATCCATGTTTTGGTGCACTGGCAGGATATCTGGGGTTGTGCTGGCAACACCGATTTGGTCTACCAATCCAGTCAGGAATGAAATAAACATTGAGCTGCATTATTTCTATTTCATTTAAAATCATATTGTTGGTAGTCTCAGATTCATAACATGCTTTTTAAAAAGGGCTTTGTACAGTTATATTACAATTCACATAATATTTCAGGTTTCACACAGATATTAAGCTTTGGTGGTCTATCAGTTATGCATAACTAGGGTCTACCAATGTAGCTGATGAACAATGCCCATAACATGCAGAGGCTTAACCATTCCCGTAATCAAAAATGCTAACTGATGGGGGAACCACTGTCAAATACATATTACTTAACAGGACCCATCACAGAAGGGTTAAGAAAAATGATATTCTTACCTGAAGTGTCTGCGCATATACCGGTGGGTTCTGCTTCCTTAGGTGATGTAGGTAAACCCTGTCATGTTGGAGGGTTATACGGGCAGACCTTATCCGGCCTTGTTCTTGCATTACAGCAAACACCTTTCCTGCTTGTAGTAGGCTTCTCACATCATCATCTACCTGTTGGAGCATCTGAGCCTGTTGAACAAACTTTGACTAATTTGTAGTTATTACCAGTAGCGTCTATATACCCATGTTTCAAATCCTTTGATGATAACCTATTTTTATTTCTTATATTTTTTATTATTATCATTATTATTTTTTTTCTCAAATATATAAGTTATAGTGATAAGAATAATACTCTCTCATGTAGTTGGATAAAGTTTTAAGATTTTATATTTTCATCACAAATATTAGACATTCTTTCTATCCAATTGGTTCGGGGGACCTATGTGATAAGGATTTTTTTAGTGGGGGTGTGAGGGGTATGATGCAAATATCAAAATGTAGCTGACTGTAGCCTAATGTAAAATAAAAATGTGGTTTTGTTAGTTTATCTATGCACATGGTATTCTGTATGGACAACAATTATGGTAGCCTATAGGGAAAAAGTCAATCAATGTATATCTCACATTGTAACTTTTGAATATCTTTACAATACCACAGCTAGCTCTAGACTGCTTTAAACGGTTAGGCTTTACAAACAATTACAAGGCTATTTTAAACCACTCTTTCACTTATAAATCACTGGAAATGTCACAAATAAACTATCTTAAACTTCAGCAATCTAATGATTCCTTGTACTGTCAACTGTGAGAACCTTATTGTCATAATCACAAAAAATATAATTTACTTACTATCATGAATTCAAATTTTCTTTAGGATACCAGTCAAGCTGTTTATCATACAAATATAATTTTTTGCATTTGCACCATCTCAAAATGCCTAAAAAATAATCAATAAATATATAAATAAAAGAATCTGGTTTATAGCTTTACAAAATGTTTTACATTTCTTTGTGGGTGGAAAATCAGTAGTGAATATTTTTTCAACAATTACAATCATACTACTTTTCTTTTTATTGATTCACCATTCATATTTATTACTACATTATCAAATGATAAATGATTATTATGCTTACATAATAATTCTTCTATAAAGGATAATATCAGTCATGCACTGTTCTTTTTTCTGACTTTGGATTATGTATACTCACATATGTCTTATGAGATATTTCTAAATCATTTCAAATGAATATTTAAAAAATACCAATTACCGTTAGTGGAAAGGCTCCTCCTATTAGTATATCATGGGGACAAGCATTGTGCACACCGGGAATGGTGACTGGCGTCATTCCACGACTACTTGCTGACATTGCATCGACATCTCTCAGAGTAATTGCAGGCTCTAAATTTGTCTCATGTCTCACCATCCTCAGTGCCTTTCTTGTAGCTGCACGAACCTGGCACATAAACAATTTTTTTAACAAAATTAAACTTTCTTAGCTGAAAATTATCATGAAACTGGAGCACTTAGTATCTAAAAATAGATGTCATGAATAT